AGAGAAGCCCGCCCGAAGAAGTACTCCATACACTAATGACCGAGGTTGAACACATCGTCAATTCGAGACTCCTCACCCCGATCAGCATGGACCCAGAAGACGAAGAGAGCCTAACACCGAACCATTTCCCGCTGGGAAGATCATGCGGAGCGATGGCGCCGGGAGAATTCAGTGACACGGAGCTGATTGGAAAGGCAAATTGGAAAACCACTCAAAGACTCGCAGATCATTTCTGGAAAAGATGGATCAAAGAATATTTACCTCTCCTGATGCCAAGAAAACTCGAAAAAAGAGAAACCAAAGACCCAAGAGAAGGAGACATTGTGCTGATAGTGGACGCTACGTTACCACGAAACTCATGGCCTCGCAGAGAAGTTATCAAGACCTATCCCGGACCAGACGGAAGAACTAGAGTGCTGGACGTGCGGACATCAGGTGGAATACTTCGCCGCCCAACTCGACGTGTCATCGTGCTGGTGCCAGCAGTATCGTCGCCTCCGGAAGATGAAGTGCTACGCACCGTGGGAGAGAATGTTAGCGACGACAAGTGAATTTAATTATTTAATTTCAATTTATTCTTATTTGTGATCTAAAAAGACTGAAAGTGTTAATAACATTAAGAGAATTAATTACTTATACTAGCTTCAATTCTTATTTGCAATCTAAAAGTAAGTAACGAAAGTTAGTAACGAAAGTCAGCAACGAAATGTGAGTTTAATTACTTATTTGAGTTTAATTAGAATATCAGAAACGAAATCTGAATCTAGTTACTTATTGGAACTTACTCTTATTATAATCTAAAGAACTACATTAGAAACATTAACATAACTAAGTGTGAATTTAATTACTTGTTTAATTCTTTTTCTTTTTAATGTAATTTAAAACTACGACAATACGTCAATTAACCACATGTATAATCTCGTTTCCTATTATAAAAATAGATTTAGTTCAATAAGAAGTTCAAATGTATGCTGCAATAGTTTCTTAAGACGTTAAGCGTAATGTTATCACGATAAGCATTGTGCATTTCTGCCGCCTGGTGGCGCCACATGTATGTTATGCGGAAAAAACCTTAGCTACTACGGAGCTATACCGTGGGAAGACCGCTCCACTATTAAGCTATTGCATAGCTTCTATCGCGGGCCTTGAGCGCGGGGACCGAATCCAGAAATTCCGTAACGAAAAAACCTCACGCTCCCCCACTCCAACGGGCACGGAGGTGTGGCTTGAAGGCCGTACATTGTCTAACGTCGTTTCTTTTCGGCAGTCTTCGACACGGTGTTTGTGTGCGTGCAACTAGACGTATTGTACGACTCTACGAAGCTCGCACAAATCGAGACGAGCTGCTCCGAAATCTGACGAATACATAAGCAGCTGTTTATGAGAAAGTATATAGGTGTATAGGTATTTATGTACAACAGTGAATAGCTGTACTTGTAAAATTTATGTATAAAGTGTTTTGAATATGAATGAACAAAGTGCATTTATTATTTATTTATTTAATAAAAGAAAAAAAATTGTTTTCTTATCGGTCACCACGCTCAATAAGTGTAACTTGAATTAATATCAAAGAAAAAGAAATACTACATAAATAAAATAAATAAATAATTATAATTGCATAAGTTGATACAAAATGCTATGCAATAGCTTTACCGCAGCAGTCCCCGAGTGCCACACGTCTATTTTTTTATTTATTAAAGGTGTAAATTAAGTGTTTTATGAATGATTAATGTTTGAAATAATAAAGATAAGCTATTTCTATTATCAGAAATGTATAAAAACATTGAAAGGGATGTTTTACCACTAAAATAAAAGAAATTTGTAAGTTTCCCTTAGAAAAGGTTGTTCTGCGATCTGATTGGTCGACAGAAATCATTAGTGCCGTGTGCAAATTCGTTAGGGCCGTGTGCAAAATTTAACTATTTTCATTGGTCGAGATTGCCTATAAAAAAGAGGCGTTTTTTGTGGTAAAACATTCCAAATCCGGCAAAGTAAGAATAAAGCATCAAGAAAATAAATAAGAAGAAACTCTGAAGAAGTGTTATTTATTGCTCATCTAACTGCTACTGCATGCTCTCCAGTTAACATCCCGCCAGCATAACCCGCTCCATTACTAACATTCTTACACACGAGCATCAACACGAGATCATACTAGTTACCAGAAAAATATAAAAAAATCTAAGTCATGTATTTCAGAAATTATAGTAATTTTATTTTTTTTTCGATAAAATGTACACCATGAGACAGTTTTTTCATTCCTGTTGCTACAAATATTTACTTTTTGACAATTTTTTTTCTCTTACGTCATCCTGAATAGTGCTTCTGTAACCTGTAATCCTAAACCCTGTGCCGATCACTCCAGCTTGAAAGAAAATGTAATTTTATATCGAACCAAATTTTCAGAATTAGATTTTCGCACTACTTCCACTGACCGTCCTGGAAAATAATTGTACTACGCCAGTTTGGCAAGTAGCTTTAAAAGTTAGCGCATTTAATAAGGATTCTAACTTGGTATAACACTACTCCATTATTTCTTAGATCAGCCATAAAATTTTTTTGTTAAACAAAGTCAGTTTTTACCAATTTTTTGGAACTTACATTAAAACGATTCTAGTGCAACCAAAGCGTTCCTAATGACCACAGCGTGGTTTAAATGAGATAGAGAGAGACATTCCATAAAGTGTGAGCGAGACAGATAGTGACGATAATGAGACACAGACGCTGCCCAACAAATTCCCCCCACCCTCTCAAAAAAATAATAAGCCCCCCAAAAAAAACCACCCTACACACCCCCACACCCCCCCCAAAAAAAAAAAAAAAATGATTTTGTAAAATATCTAAATCAATTTCAGCATTCAAAACTTCTGGCAACTCGAAAAGCCCCATGACTTTTCCGTTTAAAATTCCAGTCCACATGTTTATTTTGAAACGGTACTGTGATCTATCTTGTCTCATCAATCGTGGATTTTCGACGTGCCGTTCGTGTAGATTGTGAAGGTTCATGTAGCTGTCTTTTTTAAAGGTTGATTCATCCGACCACAAAATTTTTTCTAAGAGTTGTGGGTCTTCTCGGTGTTTTTGAATCATGGTTTGGCAAAACCCGAGGTTCATAATCCCGAGGTAATAACGTTTGTACTCGCTGTACATGATAAGGGTGGAGCTCATTTTTTTGTAATATTCGGTGAGCTATACTTTTGGGCACACCTGTGCTGGCCCCAATTCGACGTACCGAACAACTTGGGTCTTCATCAACTGCTTGAAGGACTACTTCCTCGTAAGGTAATGAAATTCTACCTTCACCATGCATTTGGTTTGGCAGTTGGCCATCAGAGAAGAGTAGATGGTGCACATTGGTAAAAACTCTGTGATCTGGATAGCGATCAGCATTAGGGTATATCTCGCGATACCGTCTAGCGGCTTCACTGACCATTGGCATTCCCCATAAATGAGGTGCATATTGGCATATTCCTGTGTGGTGTACACAGCCATGGTATGGTACAAATACACAATAACACGTTAGTCCAGGGAAAAGCAAAGGTTGTCGTAAAGAGATCACAAATGTTCAAATCCGAATCCAAATCACACGCAAACAAGTCCAGTAAACAAAGCCAAAGTAGTAAGAACACAAGATATTACCAGCGAATACGAAAAGATGCGTAGTAAACGAAGTAGCGTTGCGTACTGATTTCACAGAGTACTTGACTGATTTGTAGTGCGTGTACCAATACCAATAAGAGGCGTCATTACCTGTCTTGCTCACACTTAACATGGCTCTCTGTCTTGTTCACTCATTTGCGTCTGTGTCTCATTATCGTCACTATCTGTCTCGCTCACACTTTATGGAATGTCTCTTTTTATCTCATTTAAACCCCGTTGTGGTCATTAGGAACGCTTTGGTTGCACTAGAATCGTTTTAATGTAAGTTCCAAAAAATTGTTAAAAACTGACTTCGTTTAACAAAAATTTTTTTATGGCTGGTCTAAGAAATAATGGAGTAAGTGTTATACCACGTTAGAATGCTTATTAAATGCGCTTACTTTTAAAGCTACTTGCCAAACTGGCGTAATACAATTATTTTCCAGGACGGTCAGTCGAAGTAGTGCGAAAAACTAATTCTGAAAACTTGGTTCGGTATAAAATTACATTTTCTTTCAAGCTGGGGTGATCGGCACAGGGTTTAGGATTACAGGTTACAGAAATACTATTCAGGATGACGTAAGAGAAAAAAATTGGCAAAAAGTAAATATTTGTAGCAACAGGAATGAAAAAACTTTCTCATGGTGTACATTTTATCGAAAACAATAAAAATTACTATAATTTCTGAAATACATGACTTAGATTTTTTTATATTTTTCTGGTAATTAGTATGGCCTCGCCTATATATATATATATATATATATATATATATATATATATATATATATATATATATATATATATATATATATATATATATAAAATTTATTTATTACAAAAAATACAGTCGGTTGTTCTTTATACAACTTTCGCCAAACTGCAGGGCAGTTTGTTGGCGAATACATTACCCTCTTATATTTTATGTACCTAATAACATAAAATGACCTACCTTAAGAACTTAAAATACACATAAACTGTACCTACTGTAATTTAAAATGCAATCCCTAAAAACTTAAAAATAGAAAATTAAATTAACACTAATTTAAAAGATTTAAACTAATTAAAACTAAGCGCTATTACTACTGTTACATACCTTATTATATGTAGATGCGATAAAATACGCAAAGAGATGCAATTGCTTCACATTCGTCACTCAACATAACTATGAAGTGGTGTAATGATAGATGGTAGATGATGGATATTTAGGTCAACACAGTTTGTTGTTAACCTAATATCCTTCGATTTTGTTGTCATCAGTTTTTAAATGCCTCCTACAATGGAAGCCGTATATATGTCAGAATATTTGACCTAGACATTATTCATTCAAGCGGCTGAATCGTTGCGTATTAAGTGTAGTTTGGTACCTGGTAGCGGCCGGTGAGCAGGAACAGGCCGCGCAGCGCGATGAAGGTGTCGCGTCCCCAGCAGCGCATGTAGCCGGTGACGAAATGCGGCAGGCCGGCCGACAGCGAAGCGCGCGCGCGGCCGCCCGGCAGCGGCGCCGAGCGCACGGCGCCCGTCAGCTGCACGCTCGTCAGCGCCAGCTCGCGGACGACGCGACCGCCGCCCGCCGCGCCGCGCGCCCAGTCGCCCAGCTGCGCCGCCGCCGCGCGCTCCACGGCCGCGTGCAGCGCGCGCATGGCCGCCTCGAAGTACGTGGGCAGCAGGAAGCGCGGCAGCTCGGTCAGCGGCGCCAGCGCCACCCGGTAGCAGGCCGCCACGCCGCCCAGCCGCGGCTCCGCCTCCAGCCGCCGCCACTGGTACTCCACCAGCCAGTCGCCAGCGCGCAGGTTGTCGCACACCGGGTGCCCGAGGTCATCCCGCGCCACCACCTTGTAAACGCAGTAGTGACGCTGCTTGTAACATGGCTCGGCTCCAAGTACCGCCCTCTCACAGAATACCAGCGTAATATACTTCTTATAGTGAACGTAGAGCACCGGAGACCCTTCTTACTAGATACGAGACATTCCATCTCAATCCTCAGAAATGACAACGCATCAGCATTTTGACTCTTAGTCGAAGATAAAATATAGATGTCTATGGACCACAGCTTCCACATGCCTTCAGGTGCACTATGTGCTCGTTTGCGACCCTTATTCTATAAAAATAACGATTGATTCGATGATTGATAGGATATTTTAGCTAATTGAGTAACAACAAAGTACATTGAAATTAACATCAACCCACGGAAGGTTCGGTTACATAGTAAGGCATTTGACCGTAGAAAGTACAGGTCATAATTTCCTCAGTTAATGTATTTGTAGTGCGTGTACCAATACCAATAAGAGGCGTCATTACCTGTCTTGCTCACACTTAACATGGCTCTCTGTCTTGTTCACTCATTTGCGTCTGTGTCTCATTATCGTCACTGTCTGTCTCGCTCACACTTTATGGAATGTCTCTTTTTATCTCATTTAAACCCCGCTGTGGTCATTAGGAACGCTTTGGTTGCACTAGAATCGTTTTAATGTAAGTTCCAAAAAATTGTGTGGAAAATAAGTAAAAGGTATAAGGAAGGAAATTATCATAAACGGGAATATTTCCAATCATTAATAAAATTTAATGGAATTCGTTTTGTTAAATTTTTCTAGGCTTTGAGTTTTATGTAGATTTAGTTTATTTCGTACAATTAATTTAAATGTGTTGTTACTAGCCAATAAATTATTTACTATATTTATTTAAGTGATTTTTATCTTCTAAAATGACTGCCCAAGTAAATTTTAAATTCATCCAATGTCGTTACACCTATCATTTAAAAATATCGTTTCGTACATTTAATTAAAAATAACATTTTAAAATATTTCGCGGCAAATGATTTTTATAACATAACATACATAACATAAACACTCACGCCTGTCACCCAGAGGGGTAGGCAGAGACTTCCATTTGGCACGATCCTGACACACCTCTCTCGCCTCCTTCACATCCATACACCTACGCATACATGCTCGTCGGTTAAGGGTGCTCCTAATTTGGCCCGTTTTCAATAAATCGCCAATTTGGTCGATATATTTTCGCCTAGGATGTCCCTTTCCGACTCTGACATTCGCTTCTGCAACATAATTTTTTTTTTGTCATTCTTTTCTCATTCATTCTTTCCACATGACCAAACCACCGAAGCATTCCTTTCTTAATCCCGGTCACAACATCATCTTGCAAACCACACTCTTCTCTTATCACACTATTTCTCACCCTGTCATTCAGATTCAGCCCTAACACACTCCTTAACGACCGCATTTCTACTGCGTTCATTCTACTCTCGTGCTTCTTCTGCCACACCCAACTTTCACTACCATACGTTAAAGTTGGGACCAACTGTGAACTTCCATACGTGCCTTTTTCGACACATTTTGACTCTTCACAATAGAGTGTAGGGCCCCATTTACTCTATTGCCTGCATTCACTCGTCGTTCTATATCCTTATCACATCTCCCATCCCTGCTAAATACGCTACCCAAATATACATATAAACTCATCTACTTGCTCGATCAACTCCCCTTCTATTGTTATTTCACATATCGTTTTACTTTCTTCTCTTTCAAAAATCATAACTTTCGTCTTACATGCGTTCACTGTCATACTCCTTTCTTTTAGTGATCTGTTCATTAATGTAACCATCATTTGCAACTCGGCCGCCGATGATGCAAGAATAACTTGATCATCGACGTACAAAAGGCATTTGACGGTTAACTCACCCATCTTAATCCGCATTCTTCAACTTTCAAATTTTGTAAACAACTGTCCATAAATAGGTTGAACAGCCACAGGGAAGCCACACAGCCCTGTCTGACACCTTTATGGATGCCAAACCAGTCCGAGTAGACCCCGTTGATCCTAACACAAGCACTAGAGTCTCTATAAAGAGACTCCAATGCCTGTATCAAGCCAGCGCTCAACCCAAATCAGTTCAGTGTTTGCCATAGCACATCCCTATCCACTCTGTCATAGGCCTTTTCCAAGTCCATGAACGCACAAAAAACCTTTTGGTTTTTGGCCAAAAACTTCTCCGCGATCATGCGCATGGAAAAGACTTGATCTGTACATCCCATTCCCTTTCTAAATCCCGCTTGTACATCCCAAATTTTTCCATCAGTTTCTTTCATGACCCTTTCAATCAGTATCTTAGCATACAGTTTTCCCAGAATGCTAAGACGGCTGATACCGCGGTAGTTTTTGCAGTCCTGCTGCGAACCTTTTCCTTTATATACTGGGACTATCACGGCATTGCACCAGTCTACCGGTACCCGCTTAAGCTCCTAGCATAAATTAAACAAGGTATGCAGCAGGCCTGCCACCACTTCCTCTCCAGCCCTTAGCATTTCGAGTGAAACTCTATCATATCCGGCAGCCTTACCTGCTTTCATGCTTTTCATTGCTTTCATTATTTCATTTATACTTATCTCGCTACCTCTTTCCTCTTCTTTCGGAGTTTCTACTTCATTTAATTCATACGTTGTCTCCTCACTCATAAACACGCTTTCAAAATATTCCTTCCATCTCTTTAAACTCAAAACTTTATCATTCAGAATAAATCCATTCTCGTCTCTTATAGCATTAATTATAGGCTGTTTTGAATGTCCCCTAGCAGTTCTTACGAGTTTCCAGAACATTTTAGTATTCGCCTGGAAGTTAACCAATATACTTCTATCATTCTTATCCGTTCTTTCTTGCTTTTTCCTTTCAACTACTTCTTTTACTCTCTTATTTAGATGTCTAAAGACTGCCTTTTTTCTTTCAATATCATCATTCGTACCGCTAGAATTACCAGCCTTTGTTGCTAGTAAATCTCGCCATGCTCTCTTCTTTGCTTCAACTTCCATAGGTATCTAATCATCCCACCATAACGTATTATTTTTCCTTTCATTCTTTCTCTTACTAACACCACATACTTCGATAGCTGCATCCACTAAACCTTTCTTAACATTTTGCCATACATTCTCCAGAATGAGTTTTTATATGATAACTTTATTTAATATCATCACCATCATCACTACAGCCCTTCACAAGTCCACTGCTGCACATAGGGCTCCCCCAAGGAACGCCACAAAGCAAGTTTCCGAGCAACCTGCACCCAGTGACTTCCTGAATATTATACCAGGTCGTCACTCCATCTAGTGGCGGCCGCTCTACACTTCGCCTGCCGGTACGAGACTGCCACTCTTCTTCATCGGTTGTCGGTTCTTTGTGCTATATGGCCAGGTCATTGCCACTTCATCTTACTAATCTGTTGGGCTATATCGGTTACTCTGGTTCTACTGCGGATACCCTCGTTTTTAAGTCTACCGTCTATCACGCAGATAAATCCCGAGCATAGCCCTCTCCATAGCTCGCTGAGCGAACTTGAGATTCCTCATACGGTCAGCAGTGGAGGACTACGTTCAGAGTCACAGGTCATCACTGGCAACACGCACAGGTTGTACAATCTTGTTTTAAGGTTTTGAGGTATACCTGACGAGAAGATGTATTGTAATATCCCGAACGCCGCCCAGCCGAGTTGAATCCGTCGATTGACCTCTCGGTTGAAATTGAACTTACCTAGTCAACAGCTTCGAGCTTAGTGCTCTCAACAACTATCGGTATAGGTGTGACATGGACGTTACACATGACTTTTGTTTTGTCGATGTTTATCTTAAGACCTATCCGTTGGACACTATTGAGATCATTGAGCATAGTGCTTAGGTCCTACAGCGATTCAGCCATAAGAACTACATCGTCGGCAAATCGAAGGTTAGTGATGTACTCGCCGTTGATGTTAATACCGTATAATTTAGTCCAGTAGCTTGAAAACGGCTTCCAATGTAGCAGTGAAGAGTTTAGGGGATATTACGTCACCCTGCCTTACACCTCTCTGCAGTTAGATAGGTCTCGAACTCTGGTTTTGTACTCGGATAGCCATCTTAGCCCTACTGTACAAAGACTTCAGCACTTCGATATACCGACAGTTAAATTGGCACCGCTGAAGGGACTGCAGCACTGCTCAAATTTCGAGAGAATCAAAGACTTTCTCTCTCTTCGGTCTTCTGTACAATTTGCCTACGAGTAAAGTTACAGCCTATATAACGTCCCACAGCTGGTGTGCCCAGCCCAGGTGGCCCCAATGCGTGTTAGCGAACTTCACATGTCTTTGAAATATTTTTTTTATTCCTCAGACATGCAGCCTACGAGTTGTTTTTATATATTATATATATATATATATATATATATATATATATATATATATATATATATATATATTTTAATAATTGCCTACGAGTAATTACTAGCATAGAGAGTCCTAAAATAGGAACAAATTTTTTATAGCTGAAGTCTTTATACATATGTCGTTTGACATAGTACAAAATAAGAATGCTATAAGTATGATTCTCAATATCTTTCTTTTACAAGGTTGTCGCCGTTTTTCCGTTCCATGGACACCTGCATTACTATTAGTGAAACAAAGAACGGTAAATTCATTTAGTCTATGGCTTAAGAATTATTATCAATGCGGTTCGTATTACTTATATATATCAACGAAAGTTTATGGAAGCTTCATCTGACATATTACAACAAAATCGTAGGCGAATAATGCGGTATTTCGTACTATCGTTGTACAATTCAAATATCTCGTGAAACGGTCATTATACTTAAATTCAGTCAGTATATTTTCCCCAAATTATTTTAAACTTAGTATGGCTTTCACTAGGAATAATAACTGTGTTTGTTTAATCAACACTGGGTTTGTATCATGGAACGTACACACAGAGGGCGCTGCTACGATAGTTCTTTTTTCATAGAATAAGGGTTCCGAACGGGCATACAGTCCCCATGATGGTAAGTGGATGCTGTGTCTCAT